TGAAAACAAAAATCTACCAGCATATGTTATATTTTCTATTTATTATTTTTAGAGATAGATTTAAAAACCAAAAAATATAGATAAATAATACGTTTATTTTTTTCAATTTCAAAAAGATATTCAAGTTGAATTTTTTTTTTCAACAGAATATTTAAATTCTTTTTTAATTGAAAACACAAACAGAATATTTAAACAAACTGAAAACACAAAGTTTTATAAATTACTAGGGATACTTGCGGTTTGGCGGTTCGGTTGTGGCCAAAGGAATCTCAAATCCGCCATCCGTCCGCCAGATTGGTGGATTGAAGAAAATCATCTGCAACTGTCCGCTCGTCATCACGCATCCGTCCAAAATGCTGTGGATCGGTTCGGTTTGGTCGGTTTTGGCGGATCGGTATATCCGCTGCTCACCCCTAGTTGATAATAGAAATGAACAAAGTAAATGATTGTTATTTTAAAGTACTTCCACCTTCTAAGTACACCCTGTTTAATTATTTAAATTTTTATTTTATTCTCATTACACCCTATTATTTTTCCCAAATTACCCTCAAGGAAAATCCAAATAATAAATAATAAACAAACTAGAAAAACTAAGATTGCGTTTGGTAGAGCTTTGTAACTATGATTTGAGAGTATGAGTTGCAGTTTGAATTTGTGAGTTTTGGAATTATAATTTGAATGTGAAAAATTTGTTTGGTGAAAGAGTTTTGAAAAGAGTTTTGAATTGAGTGAAGAATTTTTGACGTGACATTTGATATTTGATACAAAAACTTACAACTCATAACCAAACATACAACTCAAAATTCTATTAAAGCACCAAACATACAACTCAATATTTTTTTCTAATATATAAAAATTAACACATCAAAAAAAAATTACACTGTTCTGGTCAACCGGTGGGACAACTGGTTAAGCCAAATTTCAAAAAAAAAAAAATTGATAATCACACTCTCAAACAGAGTTTTCTACAAAGTTGTGGAAAATTAATTCCACATACCTATCCAAACATCATATTCAAATGTGGGAGTAGAAAACTCGTTTGGAAATCGTTCCAAACATAGCAATTTTTCAAAAACTTTTCAATACAGAAAATAATTCTCAAAAAAAAAAAACAAAAAAAAAAACCAAAACTTATAAGCACATAAGTATTATAAATGCAGAAAAAACCAAACTATTACATAAATATCATAAAACTTTTCAATATAGGAAAAAAAAAACTTTTACATTATAAATTATCCACAAGAATGTGCGTGGAAAAGTAAAATTCAAACTTATAAACACATAAGCATCAGGCACTAACAAGAAAGAATAGTTCTCAAATAATGTATTATTTAAATAATAAAATAAGAACGACTCTAATAATATGTTGGGCATTGATTCAGACCCCCTTAAAACTCCCACCCCCACCATCCCCACACACACGTGGGGTTTGGGGATTGGGAGAGAGAGAGAGAAAAAAAAAAAAAGTTGACCAATCAAAAGCAAAAGGGGTCAAGGGGGTCCCAATCTTTATTCTAATATGTTGTTGTTAATCTAACAACTGGATTCTTTAATTTTTGTCAAAAAATCAATATATAAAATAATTGATGGTGCTTTACAAAAATTGTGAAACCCCTTTTATATGAATACTTACCTCCTTTTTGATGGGTTACTTCCAAAAAATTATTTTGATTATTACTCTTATTCATTATTTGATTTTGTTCAAACTTTTTTCTAGGGTTTGAGGTTTCAAAATTATAAAAAACAATGATGTTAATGATAACGGTGAGTTTCGGTAGAGTGGATTGAAGTTTTAGAGGGAGGATGAAAAAGAAGAAGAAGAAGAAATAATTTTGATCTATTAGGATAGAAGATACAGATTTGAATAAAAATAACTGATTAGGGTGTACCATGAGAAAAAAAAAATTATTTTAAGATTTAATATATTTTATCCTTATTAATAAATTTATATTAAAATATAATAAAAATTAAAATTTATAAATTTAAATTGAACATATTAAAATATATTTTGAGCTCAAATAGAATCTCCCCGCAAGGCTTACGCCATGCCATGTTGCTCGCTCCATTCCAAGTCGTCAAAATCAATGAACTCTCAATACTTTTTTTAGAAGAGTGGGCATCTTTGCTTTGCACTTCATCATTGAGGTACACCACCCCCATCAAAATACATTACTTGTTATGTATAAACAAAAGCTTACTTGGCCCACCAAGTGAAATTGTCGTACTACATATTTTTCAGAAATTTCTTTTTAGTAATTTTTTTATTTTTTGGCTCAAATATGATATAAAAAAATTAGTATGTTTGGGATAATTTTTTAACTTTTTACAAAAAGATATGCAAAAAGTAAAGAAAAAAATGAATCTTTGACTTTTTGATATGTCGTTTGGGAAGAGCTCATTTGGGCTCTTTTGGCTCTTTGAGTCACAAAAGATAGAATAGGCTATTTGAGCCACAACAGACAAAACAACACATCCAACCCATAATTATTATACTCTTCTCTCACAAAAAAAAGTCAAAAAGTCAAAAAATCAAAAAGTCCTTCTCAAACCAAAGTTTTGAGCCAAGGCTCAAATAATCAAAAAAGTCAAAAAGTCAAAAAGCCAACCCACTTCCCAAACAGAGACTTATTGATTTTTTAATTTTTTTAAAAAAATTTTAACTTTTTAATTAAAAAAATTACTTGTCAAACGAGACCTTAATTATATCGCCAACCCACAGTCTAGGATTTAACAATTACATAAAATAAAAAATAAAAAAATAATAGAAGAATGATAATGCATTATTTGCCGCCACGTGATATTTCTGATCCACATGAGACAATGCACTACTTGATGCGGCGTGCTTAAAATTCAAAAAGTTTCTAAAAGCTCAAGTTAAACCCTTTCAAGAACATTTAAAATAGCTTACCCAAAAAAAGAACATTTAAAATAACTGACATAAAGCCTAAAATTTTTAGAAAATATCAAATTAGTGATATTTTTAAAAAAATAATTACAAAAAAATAATAAATTTAATGAACATTAATAATTAAAATCTTAAAATCTTTCATGAGTATGTAGTTATTTTTTGAAAGTTTTACCAGGGTCTGATTGCCTCCCAAATTTTTATGAAATGACGAGGATCCCTTCTAATTCAGATTTTAGATTGAAAGGTGTTATTTGGGTTCGGAAGACTCATCATGAGTCTCATTTCAATGATCTGAATCGTTCATTATGTCGAGCACTCCGTATATTTCACCAACACAAAAAATTAGGTCAATCTGATAACTGTAAGTTATTCAATTTATTACATTTGTTACTAAAAAATATATGATTTATTTTAACAAACACAATTGTTGTTATTTTTTAAGTGAGAAATTAAACAAGTTACAATTACTGGATCAATTTAATTTTTTTTTTATAGATGAAATACACAAAATGTCCGATTAAATTGACGGTTTGGATCATCAAAACGAGACCCGTGGTAAGCTCTACGGATCTAAACAGCACCCTCCTCTTCAAAATCTGGACAGAAAAAAATCCTCCTCCGTCAGAAAATTAATCTTATCATTGGAAATTTAGCTTTTCTTAAAGCTATGGAGAAATTTAAATTGATTTTTAAATTTTTTTTAAAAAATAAAACCAAATCAAAACCTAATTTCAAATTAAAAGCTACGGTTGACTTGATTCTGATCAAATTTGTTTTAAGTAAAATGATATGGGATTTAATGTGATATTTTGTTTGGATTGATTTTTTTTGATTTTGTAACCAATTTGTCTTTTAATGAAAAAAAAAAAAAAACAAAACCCAAACTTCTCAAACAGCGCCATAATTTTATAATTTAATTTAAATTTTACTTTAATTCTTATTATTTTAAATTAAATAATTTTCAATTTGGCCAATCTTTGACTTAAAAATAAAAAAAAACTTACACGTGAGTCCTACTAAGTATACTTATTATCCAATAGATCCTATGATAATTAATAACATTTTTTATCATACACTATTAGAAAACGTCACTAATTATTGATTTTTAGCAACATTTTGAAAATTCTGCCACAAAATATATCATTAATTGTAAATTTTAGTGATTGTTTAAAACAATCGTCACAAAAAAAGTTACTAATTTTTAACTTTCAGCGATAGTTTGAAAAATTCGTTACAAAAAAGTCACTAATGGTAAATTTTAACGACAATTCATAAAAACCGTGACAAAAAAAAAGTCACTAATTATCAATTTTTGTACAGAACGTCATCAAAAATTATTTTTAGCAACGATCGTCTAATAGATCATATGATAATTATGACATTTTTCATCATAAACTATTAAAAAACATTTCTAATTGTTAATTTTCAACGACAGTTTGAAAATTCTGTCACAAAAAATGTCACTAATTTTAAATTTTAGCGACAGTTAAAAAAAATCGTCACAAAAAAGTTACTAATTTTCAACTTTTAGCGACAGTTTGAAAATTCGTCATGAAAAAATCACTAATTGTAAATTTTAACGAAAATTTATAGAAACCATGACCAAAAAAAAAAAGTTACTGATTGCCTATTTTTATGCAAAACGTCACAAACTATTATGTTTAGCAACGATTGCATTATTACTTATTTTCACAAAACTTAGGCCTCGTTTGGCAAATGACTTTTTTAGTCAAAAAGTCACTAAAAAAATCAAAAAGCCAAACAATTTATACTAAAAAATCAAATATTTTATTTTCTCTCTATTTTTTGCACATCTTTTCCTAAAAAACAAAAAAGTTATCCCAAATATACTAATTTTTTTTTACATCATATTTTAACTAAAAAGCCAAAAAAATTACTAAAAAAATCTGTTCCCAAACGAGGCCTCAATGGAAATTTAGTCCAACTATTATGATCTATTAATAATTTATCCTTAAAAGTATCATGATATCAATTATAAGGATGGTCAAAAATTTGTAAGAATGAAACAGATATACAACGAGAGAAACCCACCTTAACTACCTTAATGTTCCAATATTTTGATTTTTTACTCTTGAAATCAAATTCACATATGACCCGTAGCGGTTGACTAGACCACCGTCCTTCTGCGTGATTGGTTGCTTTTGATCCACATCACCTGTTTGTGCCACCTAGACATCCACATCAGCTTCATCTTCTTCCTATTAGGTAACTTCCTCTTCTTCCATGCTCCCACTGGTCCCACCACATGAAGTGTTTAGTATTGATTCAAACTCAGTAATATTGTTATAAAAATTAACAATATATATATATATATTTTACACACCGATGCGGCACCTATTATGTTAGGGCAATACTATATTAACAAAATTTGTGGAAAAAAAAAAATCAATACATAATGATTTATTTTATTTATATCTATATTTATTAAAATTATTAAAAGTCAAAATAGCCATTATTATGATATATAATTACAAGAATACTGTGTTATTTTGGTCTTAACAAGTAATGATAAATAATGTTCTCAAAAAAGTAATAGTAAATAAAAAAACTATACGAAATGACGAATAGAGCATTACCACATCATTCTTGTGATTGCGTTATACTTCATATGAAAGATTTTTCCCTTCAATTTTTGTATATAATGTACAGATATCATTATTGAAGTAGGTCTTATTTTCAAAACTTTATTATTACATAACACATCAGTAAAATTTTTATATAAAATTTGTTAGTTAGTACTATATATATATATATATTTTTAACAGGATGTTACCTCTGTTAGGTTGGGCAAGCCTAGGCCTTTTGATATTGGGACAGTCCTCTTCCTGAAAGTCGCCACTTCCACTAGGCATTCTCTTTAATGGAGCGTTATTAGCATTTTCAACTCCTTGGGACACAACAATCAAATTGTCATCTTGGGATGCTTGATGATCATTCCTTTCAAAATCTTCTTTGTAAACCAAACGAACCCCACATTTTTTAACAATTTCCTTACAATCCCATTCAACTTTAAATTCTTCACCCTCATTTAAATTCTCCACCATTGAATCTAATAATTCATTTCGGAGTGTCAAGTAGATCACTCCTACATTTTCAGATTGAATAGAAGGGCATTTTGTCGTCCATGAAGTAAAAAGTACGGTCTTATGCCTCATATTAAAACAAAGAGGATCCAATACATCCTCTTCTCCGATTGCAACAAGAGAAATAGCAATTCCCAAGAACCTGCTATTAAACTTCAAACATACTGGAGACTCATTATTACTTTGATGGTTGAACCACTTCGGGATGTCACTTCCAGGAAATATAATTCTAAATTAGTGTATCTCGCACGAAATACTTACCTGTACAATGAAGATTGGTCACGATGTATTGTGCTTAAACCAGAGAGAGAGAGATAGAGAGAGTACCTTAAATAGATTTGAAATGAATTCATCTGTTAGTGTTAAACAAGTATAACGCAGCGGGAAAAATTATCAGATGATACCTTAGGCGATAGAACCTGAAGCGAAGAATCTTATGAGTAAATCACGTGCTTTAAAAATGCAAACAACTAACACCCAGCAGTGGAGTGCACTACAAGAAAAAGCAGATTTCGCGACTAAAAATGAATTTTTTGTCGTTGAAAGTAATAGAATTGGCGACTAAAACCGTTTAGTAGCCAAATGTAGGGGTTTTAGCAACTAAAAGTCAGTTTAGTCGCCGAATATAGGGGTTTTAGCGACTAAAAAAATTTTAGTAGCCAAAAGAGAAGGTTTTTGGCGACTAAAAACATTTAGTAGCCAAAAATATAGGTTTTGGTGACTAAAAAATAGTTTGGTCGCCGATTATACGTGTTTTACCGACAAAAATCAATTTCGTAGCCAAAAGTGAAGCTTTTTGGCTACTAAAAAAAATTTAGTAGCTAAAAGTCAAGAATTGCCGACTAAAATGCAGTTTAGTCGCCCAAAGTAGAGGTTTTGGCGACTAAATTTCAGTTTAGTCGCCAAAAGTGGAGGTTTTTCGGCGGGAATGAATTTTTTTAGCGACTAAAATATAATCAGTAGTCGAAACCATACAATTGGCGACTAAAAAATAGATTTAGTCGCCAAAAGCGATCTATTTTTTTTTTAGCAAGATGCATTGGTTGAAATTCTGAAGGCAAACATCTCAAAGGGTATCCACGCCAATCAAGATACCTTAAATTGTTAGGAAGATATTTGAGGTCTTTAGAACGGAGAAAACAATGAATTATGAGAATTCTTAGGCTCCTCATCTTTGCAAAAGCGTTACCGCTCAACTTCAACTCTTCTGGAAACCCAAAATCCTTTGGATCACGATTTCCTAGGTCAGGATACTTCATAACTATGCCTTCCAGCTTTTCTGTTCCCTAATAACCACAAGTAAATAACAAGACACAAAATTAAAGGATAACAAAATTATGCAGAACTTTTCCTAAATATGTTTAAAATGTTCATGCTTTTCTATAAAATCTCTTACCGTATCATTCATCAGTACATGTTTTATATCTTCATAAAGCCACAACCTACAGCGTTGTCCAGGCTCTTTAGGTGATTCTTGGCGAACAATATTTCTCCCCATTTCTTGTATCAAATCATGCATAAACAGCCTACCGTGTGAAATAATTATCAGTGACTTTTCAACTAGAAGCTCTATTGCGATAGTGGGTTGGAAGCCAAAACTTTCTAGGATTTTTGTTGCATCATTTATGTATTTCTGTTTGAAAAAAAATGCAATATCTAGGAATATTTCCTTATCTTCCCAACCCAATGCATCGTAACTTATTTTGAGTACTTCTTCAACTCCTGGAAGAGGACTTCGTTCTAATCTTTTTAAAGCACTTTCCCAGTAAATTTCTTTTCGATCATGAAGAAAAGAACCCAAAACTTTGAGAGCTAAAGGAACTCCTTTACAGTACTCCACTGCACGATCTAGGAGGTTTCCATAACCTCCTATTTGCTTGTCTTTTCTAAAGGCTTTCGATATAAGGAGTTTAACAGCTTCATCTTTTTTTAATTCATGAACCTTATATGTATGTGTTGTGCCACATGTGTTTAACACATGCAAATCTATAGTTGTTATAATGATTTTACTTCCAGAACTGAACCAATCATGCTCTCCAAGCAGGTTTTCCAAGTCTATCGATTCATCCACGTCATCAAGAACAATGAGAACCTTTTTACGACTTATAATTCTCTTTATCATACTTTTTCCACTACTGATGCTGCTTACTTTTCGATCTTTCTCTATCAAGATTTTAGAAACGAGTTGTTCTTGAAGAAACGTTATACCACGTTCTTTTGAAACAGCTCTAACATTCTCAATGAAGCAGCAACCATCGAATTGCCAAGAGATATGGTCATAAACAACTTGAGCAATAGTTGTCTTACCTATTCCACCCATTCCCCATATCCCAACGATACGAGCATTATCATTCCCTAAACCTAGCAATTTTATCAATTCCTCCATATGAGAATCCATTCCAACTAGGCCTTCATCAACACTTGAATACACATTTAAATAATCAAAAATTTTCTCAACAATTTCTTCGATAAGCTTTGATTCAGACCTGTTGATTGAGAAGAACAATAAAAGAAAATTCATGAATCAGAACTCAAACAACGAAAAGTGAGTTAATTTTGCTCATTTCATTTCAAATATTTTGGGATGGAAATCATATTCTAAGAAAAGGATCTAGGATAGGTAGTGTGGACAATTTTCTTATAACAAAATCTTGGTCTTGGGAATGTGTTTGAATTGGGCTTGGCAGATTAGATAAAGTGCTGAAAATGTTTAAGTTGAATAATCAAATCAACAATTGCAGACATTGCTCCATTACCCTCACAAGTATATTTTCATTTCCTATACAATAATATTTAGGACACTTGTGTTTTCATAGGCAGTGCATTCACAAGTTCGGTCCAACTCTTCAACTTTTCAACTTTCAAAATTTCCCAATTTTCCGCTACTAGAACGAAGTATTTCTAAACCTATCCTACGCATCCTTGGCATGTGTGACACCGGCCCTTCTAAATCAACAAAACCCGAACTATATATGGACCTAATTCCAACCGTAGATACGTAGGCACCCAGTAAGCTAGGTTCAACTTTCAATTACCATCTGCAGATTTGGACAGCAATGTTTTATAAACCTATGCAATTGCAAACTGAATTTACCACAATTCAAAAACATAATAATAACAATAACATAATTAATATGTTGGGATTAAAATTGATCCACAATCAGAGAATTTAAGTAGCGAAAGGTGCAGTAAGGTGCCTAACACCTCCCTTACTCGTAACCGTAAACTCAGTTTTGGAATCATACATTTTGAGTAAGTGTTTTCACATAAAGGGATTAGTAAATCCAGAACCTTATAAAATTATTATATTTTCATTTTTCACTAAACAATTTCATTTTTCTTAAATTTGCGACTTTTTCAACTGGATAAATGCTTCCACTTTGATCCAAATTCTAATGAAAATTATACCTTTATAACAAAAATAGTGTAAATTACACTTTGTCCCCCAAAGTATGGTCATTTTCCCACTTTGGTCTTTAAAGAAAAAGGATTTCCCACTTTGATCCCCAACCCCAAAAAAATTGTCTAACTTAAATAAATAAAATAAATAGTTTCTCCCAATTACAACTTATTACATCATCCACCTCTGGCCTAGTCTTCAGAATGCCTTGGATACTAAATTGAGATTCAGTACAACTTTTCACGCCCAAACTGACGAACAATCGGAAAGGACAATCCAAACTTTAGAAGACATGTTAAGAGCCCATGTCCTAGATTTTCGAGGTAATTGGAATGAACACATTAATAGAATTTCCATATAATAATAGTCATCAGTCAAGTATTAGAATGGCTCCATACAACATTTTGAAAAGCGATTGCGGTCGCCGTAACGATTGCAGTGATGCGGTAGCGATTGTGGGGTGTAAAGGCTGTAGTGTAACAGTTGACAGTTGCGGTAACCGGAACTGTGATATTTATTTATTTATTTATTTTTTTCACACGATTTGAAGAAAACTTACCACATTTATTGAGGTTTAAAATAGATTTTAATCAATTTTTGTTAATTTTTAAGTATGATCTAATATACATATTTTCAAATCACTATAAAAGAAGTTTTTTACATTTTATTTCAATAGTTAATAACTTTAAAAATAATTGATTTTAAATGTTTACAAATTATTTTGACCAATCCTTGAATTAATTGAATAAAAAATATTCACAATCATTAAACGATTATAAAAACAAAAATTGTGCCATAAACAAAAATTATTTTTGAGACATTTTTTTAGACAACACTTTACAGCTAACTAAATAAAATTATTTACAATTAAGTATTAAATGAAATGATTATAAAAATAAAAATTGTGCCATGAACAAAAATTATTTTTGAACTACTGATTTTATTTTTTAAAGACATTTTTTAGACAACACATTAACAAAATAAAAAATACTAAATAAAATGATTATAAAAATAAATGCAACCATTGTTTATATATTTTTTATTTTACATGCTAATGTAATGAAATAAAAAAAATTTAAAAAAAATCATGTAAGATTTTTTCTTTGGGTTTAGATTACTTGAGTATTTGTTCTTTTTTTTGTAAGCTTTTATTATTATTTTTTTTTTTTGGAAAGGAAACTATTTAGAATATTGTAAAAGGGTGTAACGGTGTGTAATGGACCGTTACAGCCGTTACGGTATCGCTACAGCCGATACGTAACACCGAAACGGCCATCACATGTGAATTTCTGTCACATTGCTATAGCGGCCGTAACAGGTGGCGGTAACCACCACAACCGCTACGTAACGGTTGCGGCCACTTTTTAAAACCTTGGCTCCATATGAAGCCTCATATGGGAGGAGATGTAGACCTATGAGCAAGGTTTTAAAAAGCGGCCGCAACCGTTACGTAACGCCGTACGTAACAGTTGTGGTAGTTACCGCCACCCGTTACGACCGCTTTTGCAATGTGATTGAGATTCACAAGTGTGTCAGGCGTAGCGGCTGCTATAGCGGTTGTAATGGTGCCGTAATGGCTGTAACAGCCTGTTACACACCGTTACGTAACAGTTCCGAATTGCTTCTTTCGGAAAAACACAAACAAAAAAAAAAAGGTTGAAAATGGGGGAAGAGAGATAGAGAGAGAAGAGGGAAGATGAAAAATATGTTATTGATTTGTTGAAGCTGTAAGACCTATGCTATTCTATTCAGGTACTATCACTCAACCATTTTGTTTGTCTGTGTCTATCTGTGGGGATATATTTTTTGGATACCAACACGTGGCATGGCGACGCCGACGTGTTAGCCGAAGTGCCACGTGTCGTGGTAGTTACGCCGAGGTGATCTCGGAGTTGCCGAGGTTATCTCCGAAGATATCGGAATCCGAGATAAGCGGATAAGGGACAAGAGTCCTAGGACAAAGAGGAGACTTAGCCAAGATAAGGATAAAGCTCTTAGGGAGTTTATCTTTATCTCTTGAAGAATCCAAAGTAAGTATTAAATTGGAGTCCATAGAAGTCAGGCTTCTAGTAGGACTTGGATTGAGTAAACTATAAAAGAAAGGCGCCCCCGTGGGTCTAAGGTACGCAGTTTTAGACTCAAGCTTGTGAGTTTAGCACTTGATTATCTTTGAGAGATATACTGACTTGATCGTTGGAGTGCCCCCGGGTGGAAGAGCCACCACCGGAGCCATTTCTTTCTGTTACAGGTTTACTGAAGCCATCTATTCTGCCAGTGCTCTCCAGCTGATTACTAGGCGGGCAGTGTGGTCAGAAAATCATCCACACACTATCTATATATTGTTTGAAAATAATAATATAAGTGTGGTCATTATCTATTTGGCTTTATTAAAAAATATATATATATATATAGGCTTTTATTTATTCTCTTACTTTTGTCATTGTTTATCTTATATATAATAGTTAGTGATTGATTTTTTGTATAATATAAAGACATTAATTATTAAAATAAAATGTAAAAAACTCAGTTTATAGTGATTTATAAATATGAAATATATTGGATCAAACTTAAAAATTTATAAAAATTGATCAATATTTATTTTAAAACCCAATAAATATGATCATGGAAAAAAAATGTGCATATCGGTAAGTTTTTTTCAAATTGTGCAAAAAGTAAAAAAATTCACGGTTCCGGTTATCGCAACCGCAACCGCGCCACCGCTACCGTTACGGCAACCGCAACCGCTTTTCAGAACCTTGCCTATGAGGTTAGAGAGAGAATTGTTGGGGCCAAAGATTGTTCAAATTACTATCGATAATGTGCAAATTTTTCGAGAAAGGTTGAAGGCGGGTTAAAAGTAGACAAAAGAGCTATGCAGATAATCGGAGGAGAGATTGGAATTTCAAGTTGGGGATCATGTGTTTTTACGAATCTCGCCATGGAAGGGAGTGATGCGATTTGGTAAGAAAGGCAAACCATGTCCAAGGTATATTGGGCCATTTGAGATACTAAAGTGCATTGGCAAGACAGCTTACCATTTGGCTTTACCACCTAGTCTATCTTGCATTCACAATGTGTTCCATGTATCCACACTGAAGAAGTACATGCTTGACCCATCACATGTGCTAGATTTTCAACTAATCCGACTTAGGGATGATTTGTCTTTAGAAGAGGAAGTTGTAGAGATTGTGGACAGGAGGGATCAAGTATTGACTTCTAAGACTACCATTAGTAAAAGTATTGTGGAAAAATCATGCTTTTCGAGAAAACTACTTGGGAGCAGGAGGATGATGTGAGAATCCGATATCAACATCTTTTTCAAGGTATGAACTAGAATAAATAAATAAATAAATTTTGAGGACAAAATTCTTTTAGGGGGTAGAGAGCCAAACACCCCCCTAAGTCAAACCCAACTTAGGATACTTAAAACCCAACTCCAAACTTGCTTATGGGTGTAACCAAACACTACCTTTCAGCTAAAAATAAAAAAAATAAAAATGCATAATTTTTTTTCTTTCACTTTCTCTTCCTTCTTCTCTCGAACTTTCTCTCATTTTCTTTTACTTTCTTGGTGGCCAAACATCCCTCCTTTGCTCCACCCTTACACCACCACCTCAACCCACCATCACCACCACCGCCGGCCATCTCACCTTGCCAAGAAAAGCTCCAGTCGGCCATTTTTCTGCCTCTACAAAAGTAACACCAAATCAAGCTCAAACTCTAGATTTTTCTTAATCTCTTCAAGAATCAAAGCTTTAGGTTTCATTTCATGATGGTTTAGAAACTTATATTTGGTAAAAATCTCTCTAAAAAGTTTTAGTATAATTTTTTACATATATAGAGTTAGAGATGGTGATTTCTAGATTTATTATGATTTAGTTTTAGTTGTTGAGTTTTATACTTATATTTAGTTTCTATGGATGTTTTTGCATGTAGAAAAATCATTAATTTGATTATTGATTTTGAGATTGACATTTGGGTCAATCTAGGGGTTTGAATGTGACGTAAAAATTAGGAATTTGGGTGTTGGGAAATTTATATGTTAAAATTGATTTGATAGATAGTGGATTGGGTATCTCTATGTACTATAAATGATGTTAGAGGAATTTTATAATTTATTGAAGTGGTTTTACCTAAGTTGATGGGTTATTGGAAATGTTGATATTTGATTTTTGTGGTTTAATTGGTGATGGTTGTAGTGGTTACCGCCACCTGTTACGGCCGCTATAGATGTGTGACGGAAATTCACGTGTAATGGCCATTTCGGTGTTACGTAATGGCTGTAACGGTCCGTTAGACACAGTTATACCCTTTACAATATTGTGAATCCAGAATTTAAAAAGCGGCTGCAACCATTACGTAACGATTGTGGTGGTTACCGCCACCCATTACGGTCGTTATAGCAGTGTGATGGAAATTCACGTGTAACGGCCGTAGCGGTTCCGTAACAGCCGTAACGGTCTGTTAGATACCGATACACCATTTTACAATATTCTGAATAGCTTCATTTTTCAAAAAA